ACACTCCAGTCACAGGAATCATCCCACCATGATCAAACACCCTCTCTTCCAACACACTCTAAGGCATCACAAGTTATATACTCTAAAGCCAAAACAAAGCTAAATACAGTAGTGCAATCTAAAATAATATAGCTGTTCTAGAAGTGAGCAGTAAGTATTATGAAAGTAAGGTGTCAAAAGACTATGATGCACTATCCTTCAAGCAAATCAAAAATTAATTTTTTAGAAATGAAAATACTGATGACTTACTTCAGTGTACTTTAAGGAGCAACTTAATGAAGAACTGTCAGTGGCTTCTCACACAGAAATATACACATAGTAGTTCTCCTCAGGACATGCAGTTAAGAAACTCAAAACCCATTTAGATAGATTCGTTTCTAATATATTGGTCCAGTTAATTATGATGTAAAACATTTGAAAAGGACAAAGGTAGAAGGTTTTATCTTTGTAGGCCACTATTAAGAGAATGAGATATACTCATATACTGCAGTGATGGATAGTTGAGATAAAAATTATATAGTAATACTATTGTATGTGTTCCAGAAGAAGCTATTTACAGGCACACATTTTAAAGTCAAGAGGGACCAGTAAGGTCAGAAGAAGACATCTGTTTTGATCTTCTCTGTAGAAAAACATGGATTTTCTGCCAGCAATTTCTGCTTCAAGCCTGGAATTCCTCTAGAGCAGCTCAGGTCATAAAAAATTTTCTTCCATTTTCTAGTAAAGTAAGTACAGAAAAATATGATAGTATGAACAATGACAATCCCTTTTCAGTATTTATGACTGAGATTATCTCCAAAAATGGCAACAGGTCCTGCTGCTGCTGTTCACTCTCTAGTCCCACATTTTGTCCCTTTTGCTTTGCATTGCTCTGCCCTTTGGAGTTTTGATTGAAATAAGGCTGAGAGCTTTGGCTTCCATTAGAATTTTTCTTGGAAGCTTTGACTTCAGACTTTAGTATCCTGGTTGCCTAATTAAGAAGTAACGTAATTATCAGAAATTATAAGAAAGTCACTTTCTAGACTTAGTTGTAAGATGTCACTAGGACTTAGGATGATGCCTTATATTGACATTAGGATCTAATGTAGGATGCCAAACTAAAAAGTGTCTTTTGTGGTTCTGTTTTTTTTGTATTCTCCATCCTCCACAGCCTATGTATTTATAACTATTTTTTACATAGTTCAGTAGGGAATATTTAGATGTGAACCATTTTCATACTGTACAAATTTAAAAGTTTTACGCCCCCAGTAATGCAGGTTAATTACACTCTTCCCTGTGCTAGAGGTCCTCATATTTTCTTTGATTCACTTGCAAAATCTTCCATTTTTCCCAAATTTTTGCTGAAATTCCCACGTTACAGGATTAGTATGTCTGGTGCACAGCTGGGGAGTAAGTTTGCAAGTGTACAAGAATGAGCAGACTTGCATCAGCAGGTCACTATTGAAACCCACCCACAAGGGCTGGCAGCAGAGATTGCCTCCTAAGAAGTTGTTTTGTTTTCCACTCAGTGAATATGCCACTAACTAATGGGAGAGAAATGCTGAGAATCATTCGGTTTTTCTGAGATTTTTCAGCCAAGTGAATTGTTTTGTTTGCCGGATTTATTATATTTTAATGGATAAAGTACTATTAATATTGCAGTCTGAGCAAGAAGTTAAGGCTGGAATAGTCAAACTGTTACTCATCTGATTGGAGTACCTCAGTTTTATATGATGGAACAAAATTAGGTGTTCTTTTTAGAGTGTGGATATATGTAACTCGTTTCAGTTCAAAGTGTAAGCAAGTAACACCAAACTTTGTGCCAATATATTATGCCCCTGCAGTCTCTGCAATAATCTTCCAAATAACTGTTCCTGTAAAATAGAAGTGTTTCTATTTTTATACATTCTAGCTATTTTGTCCAAGTCAAATATTAAAATGGACAATATGAAATTAGTGATTATTAGTTGGTCTCCAAAATAAAATGCATGTGGCATGAGGGAAGCGTTTGGGGCGCTTACAAATGTGTCATCAATGTCTAAATATCAGTTATTTGACATAATACCTAATATTTACTTCATTTTCTCCTTAGAAACTCCTTGGGAATGAAAGTATTTTTTCATTGTTCCTTCCTTGTTTAGACAATGACGCAGATCAAGGAGAAGTCATTCCAAAGGCAGGGTTAGAGCACCAGGCTACAACTAATCCTACAGCTGCTTCCCATAAGGGCTGGTACTCATCCACTGGTATCTCATGTAGTTGTGGCCAAATAGGTTCCTGCATGTTGAAATTGCCACAAAGAACATGGTACCTTTTCGCTGCCCATCCTACTATTTGCACAGTGACCCTGCATCACTGAAGGGTACTGTTAAGATTTGCTTGGATCTTCTTTTGCTCTGAAAGGTTGGGATGTCTCCACATATAAATATTGACAAATTTTTTAGCATCTTTCTAGTTTTTTTTCTTCCCTTTTTGCTTTCTTTCTTTCCTTTCTCTTCATCTAACCCTAGATGAATATTGCAAGTCATCACCTGGGAAAAGCTTTCCAAAGGAGGCCCATTCTGTATTTCACTCTGAAGCACAGCTCAAATGAGAACAGAGTTGTCAAGGTAAGGAATTTTCCTTGCCAGAGATGTTTATGGGGTTGCTCTGCCATGAAGTTATAGAACTTCACTCTTGAGTCTGAGATCTGCAACATTTTTGGAGAATCTTAATAGCATGGTGGTTTTGTGGGCTGAAAGCTGCCCAGTGTTACTGCTGGTTTGTTGATTAAGAGATTTATAGCTTAGAATTAGGAACAGTAATTAGATCCAGAAGCAAGTGTGGATACATCAGAATGTATACAGGCCTTGAGTAATGTGTTCCTAATACTCATATAAAATGTGATTCATGTGGCTTTTTTATTCTTCAGTAACAGTTAGAGACAGAGTAGGAATTACTCTAGGAAGCTCTTAGTCTGGGAGGACAAGGTTGTCTTTGGAGTAAGTATCACTCTGAAAACTTTCCAGCTTAAGCCTTTCATTAATTTCTCCATGTCATCTTAATATATTTGAACTCTCTAAAAAATCATGCTGCAAAAAGTTCTCCCCATGTGTAATTTTTCCTCAAGTGAAGTGCATACCTTTCAAATTATAAACTTCCTACTTGTCCTAGGAAAATCCTCACTGTATAAATAATTGAACTCATCTGCTGTGAACACAAGTATTCTTTCTCTAGCAGTCTAAAATATATGCCTAAAAACCTATCTTGTACTTAGTGCTTTAAATAGTAATTACTCCTGTGAAGTCACTGGAAGCCCTTAAAAGGATTTGACAGTTTCCCCACAATCTTTCAGTGAATGTAGTAGCTGGGCTGCACAGTGCTACATCCACTGATAATTCAGCAGCTGAGGAACTCGGCAAAGCCTGCTCCAAACTTCTCAGCTGTTGACAGGCTTGACTTGCTGAGAACACTGGTTAAATATAGCACAAGCGAGCTGAGCTCAACAAAGTCATTGCTGTAACACTGTGTGAAGAGACCAGAAGAGGGGAAATACAATCTGAGAACTAAACTGCCAAAGCCTAACACCACCTAGCAACAGTTGAAAAAACTTTTAAACAAAAGTCTGGGTGAGACACAGACAGAGTATACCTCCTACTTCTCCTGCCTGGAATTTCTGCGAGAAGCAACTCCGGTCTTCTGTTCTCTAACCCATTTCCTTCATTACTTTAGCTGCTGGTAGACCTACAAAAGTGGGAAAAGTTTCTCTCTTTGTGTTCTCCTGGGCTGGATCAGTCTGCTACTGTGGTAGTGCTGTGGGACGAGCTACTGTGATCTTGTGGTGTGAAGGATATTCCCAGGTTTGTGTTGCTGACAGGTAAGACTGAACTAACCACTCCAATGCATTCTTTTTAAAAGAAGTGATTTTTCTTTTCTAGTGACTATTGCATCTTTCCTTTTATGAACAATCTTCTGCATGATTTGGAAACACCAGTAGATAAAAGCTGGCATAACAGTTTTAGATTTTTATTTTAGATTTTCATTACAGAAAAACATTGCTTAAATAACTTTTGCAGTTCTTAGAACGAGCATAAATGCCTAGTAGTAAAATGAAAAAATGTGTATAGATTTTGACATGTATCTTGCTTATATCTGCTTACATGCTGACAGAAGACAAACCAACATTTAAGAATAGAATACATCTCATCCCTTACCAGTGATAGTCTAGCAGCTATTAAAAGTGACAGCCTGTGTGAGAAGTAACAGGAAATAGCCATTCACTAACTGAATTAACCGAATACTTTGTGACCCAGTACACTTATACTTTTTGTTTCCTTGCTAACTTTTAGCACACAAGCACACCTGGTGCCTTTCATACTATCCTTTTGACAACAGCTCCTGGTTCTTCCTCTTATATTTATTTACATAGAACGAATATGTATCTCTGCTCTATTGATTGGCTGTATAATGCAACTCTCCTGAATACCGACCTTATGTTTATTGTAGCCAAGCATGCTTGAGCTGGATCACTGTTGTTAAAGCATTTGTTTCTTTCAGCAAAATAAATGAGAAACCAGTGCTCAGATGTTTTACAGACAGCTGAATGGAAGCCTGTTTTTCTGTTGGAAGTGAATATCCAATATTCCCATAATGGTCATGTAATTTAAGGGAGGAATTGCTCAGTATGATTTGCTTTGTCTAAACTGACAAAAGCTGTTTGGTCAATTGAAGAATGAACCCCCCTCACTCCCCCTCCTGCCGCCGTCTTTTAAAGCCATTTTCTTCAAACAAAAGAAAACTAGTACGCACAAATCTTTAAAAGATGTACTGATTATGAATTCACATGCAATATAAATTCAGTTATGAAGGCAAAGATTTAAAGAATGCACTTAACGCATGCAAAAATCCTGTTCACAGATTTATGTAGTATTGTCTCGGGTGAAAGATATTTGTCCTAAAGAAGGAATGGATTGAGTGAGTCTATGCTGACTGTCTGTGGTGTTTGACACTTAGTCTGTGGACTCCAGGACTGCCTCAGGGAGATGAGAAGGTCTTACTTGCTAAATAATTCTAGTTTCATCCCTGCATACTATACAAATGACATCAATACCACATCTTAGCAGTTGCATGCTTACAGATTGGATGAAATTAAAATACTCTGAAGCAACTTTGACTTGGTGGCTAAGAATGTAACTGCCTGTGAAACAATGAGATTAATGGAGTATTAGGATGGAGGGAAATACTTAAAAGTAGAAATCATATAGTTTACATTTTATTTCATAGCAAGGGGCACACTACTTAAGCACTAAATAGGAATACTTTTTGGTGGCCATGATTTAATGTGATAATCATTACTGTGGAATTACTACACACTGTGGTATCCCAAATCTAAATCTCAAAAGGAAACTTTAGTATTACTTTTTAATATAGACATATCTGGAGAAAGTATTTTGTTTTGTTTTTAAGAAAGCTATATAGTGAGAACTAAAACTGAAACAATATGATTTGTACGGGTTTTGTTATCTTGACATTAATGTGAAAATTACCACTTATTCTTTTGATCAAGTTAATTGGCAAATAATAACCTTTGGAGAAAAGGCTAATTTGACCTTCTGAATGTGTAGGGATGACAAAACCTGGAAAATGCTATGCTAATTATCAACTGTTTTTTGCTTTTAGTTGTTGCTGAGCATAACGTATGATTTTATGATTTTACTTTTCTTGCATAATTTACTTTGAGCAAAGTTTTTAAAAGCAAAAGGTAAATTAGCCTGATAACTATCGAATGAAGTGATTTTTGAAGTCTGATAGCAACTTCCAACTCTAACACATGGAGTTGTGGGTTTACGTACATCTGTCTTCCTTTACACTTCAAAATGGAGGAGGAGGCTAAAATTACTCTTCTCAACAGGTGTCCACAAAGAGGCACTGGGATTTTCCAATCAAATCTGTGGAATATGTAACATGTCTATTCAACAGATGGTTTCATATTTGAAGAATAGCCAGCTATACTAATGACTCCAGTGAAACCAAGCTCAATTTGTATAAAATCAAAAAGTAATTTGGGTTTTGGCGATACACCCCATTGTAGAGATTTTCTTGGAAGACAAGTAGACATAGCATATCCATTTATTTTCCTCATTATATATTATTCTAATTTTATTTATATTCCCATAACTGTGGAATGAATGGTGCCTTTCATGCTGCTAAAGACTGTGTAATCCTTCCAGTCTGAATCCACTTCCAGATTCTGACTGTGGCTCATTGTTTCACTTTCATTGGGTCAATATTATAATTTAAGGCCTCTTCTAGCCAGTATACCCACAGCTAAAGTCACCATCTTAACTGTTTTGTTATCACTTCAGTCTTTCAATCTCATTATAGAACATGGTTCATTTTAACACCAAATTCAAAGATTTGAAATTAATCTTCAAAACTCATCTTCAAATCTGCCCTGATTTTGCCAAACTCCTCCTGCTCATATCTGGTAGAGTGATACCTTTGGCTCTAGTTTAAATGGTCCATCCTCTATGCTACTGGCTTTAGCAAGCTTGACATTGACCTGATAACATGAGTTTTCTATAGTGCCTCTCGCTGTAGCACCTGTCATGGAAAGCCTAAACTTGTCTACTAACAGAGCTATGTTGACCAAGGTAGGGCTCCTGAAGATACAGTTGTGCTCCTGGAAGCAGCTTATGGAGTAAGCATAATTACATTGGGAAATCTTTCTTTACTTCTACCTGTTTTGTTCCTCTGGGCTACAATTTCACCAGCGTAGCCATTTCCATACTGATGCAGGTGTATCAGTAAAACAACTCCTCATACAGGATCTTTCTGTTGGCACAGATTCAACACATTTTTAATTTAAGGCTCTGGGTAATCTCATCTAATGCAGTTGAAGTACCCACCAGACATAAATTAAGAATGTGTCTCAGATCTGTGCTGAGTCAGAGGCCAGGTTTATGCCACTGAATTCAGGGTGAGATTTCCTTTGAGTTTGATAAGATCAGGTCTTCAATAATTAACATATAAATTTACAGTCCCCTCCAGAGCATTTAACAAAATGCATCATCTGTATTGCTGTCCAAATAATTTTTTCCTAAGAGACATTTTACTCTTTCTCCAATTTCCTGTTTCTTCCTTTCTCAAAGCTTGTTATTACAGTTTGACATACTATTTTAATATATAAACTAAATTTGGGGGCAGGGATTTTGTAGTTCTACCTGTCTAAAATGCCATTTTGAGAAATAGAGCTATAAACTTTTTGAAGAAGCCAGATGAAATAAGACAAAGGAGAAGGAACTGCATATATTCATACTTCCTATTTCACAAAAAATATTTAGTATATAAAACCTAAGATAAGAACTGAAAGCTAAGAAGATAGAATAGTGTATGTAATAAAATAATGTTAATCTGTTATATGGAAAAGCTTAAATACTTCTTCACAAGAAGCATAAACACCTATACTTTTCAGTGTCATCTTACTCTTGTGCTTTTCATTTTTAGCCTTTTCACTTTTCATTTCTGAGTGTTTTCTACTGAAAGTTGTTTCCTAATTTTATACAGAATACTGGGGATTACTTGGAGAATACAGGCTTTTCTTGATATTGGAAGATATTGAATAACTGAGGAAACATTATTGCATAATGATTTAAAATTTCTTAACCTCTCTTTTTCTCCTTTAGTAGCTAATATTTGTACCAGGTTAGCGATACTAGGAAAATAAGGCATTTACGACACGGTCCTGTAGTTATTCTTTGAGGTACGTTATCCAAAGGACAGGAACAATTGTGCCTATTGCCTGTTCAGGAGAGACAGTAGGAGTCTCTAGTCATGTTGAAGATTGCATGGTGCTAATGCATTTGTGAAAATTGTGCCTTTCTGGATACTTGATTAGACTTTTCCTTTTATTTTGGGGTCTTCCACCTACCCCTCTAGCTTCTGCAGATAATCTGCATTTTCTGTATTACTTTTCATTCTTACCATCATAGCAAAATACATACTAATATCAATGCAAACACAAAGTCTTCCTAAATTGGGACAGCTTGGGTTTTGAAGTTTGTTTGGGTTTTTTTAATTCAAGATGGCTTTGCCCTATCATTCTCATTCTGCTTTGGCTGGACTGTATCACTATATTTCTAAATATTTTCGAGAGTAAAGCATGCAAATTCTAGCTCTAAAGGTGATATGTAAGATTACATAGATTGTGGTCTCCACCAAAATGCTTTGCACACTTCGCAAATACAGCGCAGGAGTCAATTCCTACAATTAAAAGCATATATCCTAAAAGCACAATTGCAGTTTTATTTTGAAATCATTGTTCTGTAAATACACAACTGTTAAAATATATGATTTATCTTGGGGTGTTTAGTGAGTAGTGTTCCAAGGCAATGAAATGGTATTGCTCCCCCCTCCAGTTAATAGAAAATTGCTATATGTGGTCTTATAAAACTGAGGAGAAAATTAAGAATTCCAACATCCGGTTCCTTAATTTTGCAGCTCTGTGAGAGCTGAAACTTAGTCAGAAATGTGCGTATGTATGTGCACGTGTGCGTGCCTTTTGTAAGAAGAGAAATGCTTTTTGGCATTACAGAATGTATTGCTGAAGGAGTGGGACAAACACATCTGAAGTACAGGGAAATAGGCTGGAGCTTGTACTTTTTCCCTTAAATGGGCAACCCATCTAGTTGCTGTTAGCTGACACAAGCAAAGGGGTGTGTGAATCTAGAAGACCGCTGTACATTGTCCAAATGTGTTTCATTTCAAAGCTGATAAAATGGCAATTAAAATCTTCATTATCTGTGATGTGGCCAGACTTGTTCACATCTAAACTGGTGGAGTTTCGGAACAAAAGAAAAAGCCTCAATGAATTTGCAA